AAACAAGTGGTGTGAACGATCGCTAAACGTTTATCCATTAAAGTGGCCCTAAAATGGCCCCACTGATGCAAGTCCTAAGCAGGGGCGGACTGACAACACATGGGCCCCCCGGGCAATAGGGGATCATGGGGCCCCTGTGTCCTTGCCCAAACTCAAAAAAGCCTATGAAAAAGGTACCAGGGGCATCTCATGGGGCCCCCTACTGACCCCGGGCCCTCGGGCAGTGCCCGAGTTTCCAAATGGTCAGTCCGCCCCGGGTTCTAAGGTTACAATAACATTGAGAGTCATTTTGCTGCCCCAATCACCAATCCGGCGCCAGAAAATTGTATCACCGCATATGAACTCAGTACAAATGGAATCTATTGCTGGTGAATCACCTCTAAGTTACGCTTTTTTTTTTGTTTTGTTTTTTTAAATGACTTTTGTGAAGTGGAGTTTGAGCCCTTAACAAGTGAGTACCAGGGATGGTTGTGCCAACGTTTATACGAGGGCTGTACAAAAAGTGACGCAAAAGTGGGCGTGGCTTTTTCATTAACTTACAAAGGTCGTTCAAATTTCACGTGTTGGTAGAGTAAGTCTTCCTCTATATCACGTGTCAAACACAAGGTCCGTGGGCCATACGCAGCCCACCGGGCCATTTTATGTGGCCCTAATACTAAGAGCTTCTTTCTTTCATAGGGCACACCTGAACTCTGCACCCCGTGCACAGGGCACCCCTGAACTCTGTGCTATGTACGTAGTGCACCCCTGAACTCTGTGCTATGTACGTAGTGCACCCCTGAACTCTGTGCTATGTACGAAGTGCACCCCTGAACTCTGTCCTATGTACGTAGTGCACCCCTGAACTCTGTGCTATGTACGTAGTGCACCCCTGAACTCTGTGCTATACGTACGTAGTGCACCCCTGAACTCTGTGCTATGTACGTAGTGCACCCCTGAACTCTGTCCTATGTACGTAGTGCACCCCTGAACTCTGTGCTATGTACGTAGTGCACCCCTGAACTCCGTGCTATGTACGTAGTGCACCCCTGAACTCTGTGCTATGTACGAAGTGCGCCCCTGAACTCTGTGCTATGTACGAAGTGCGCCCCTGAACTCTGTGCTATGTACGTAAGTGCGCCCCTGAACTCTGTGCTATGTACGAAGTGCGCCCCTGAACTCTGTGCTATGTACGAAGTGCGCCCCTGAACTCTGTGCTATGTACGTAGTGCACCCCTGAACTCTGTGCTATGTACGTAGTGCACCCTGTGCTGAACTCACCCCTGTGTGCTATGTAACGTAGTGCACCCCTGAACTTTGTGCTATGTACGTAGTGCACCCCTGAACTCTGTGCTATGTACGTAGTGCACCCCTGAACTCTGTGCTATGTACGTAGTGCACCCCTGAACTCTGTGCTATGTACGTAGTGCACCCCTGAACTCTCTGCTATGTACGTGAACTCCGTGCTAGTGCACCCCTGAACTCCGTGCTATGTACGAAGTGCACCCCTGAACTCCGTGCTATGTACGTAGTGCACCCCTGAACTCCGTGCTATGTACGTAGTGCACCCCTGAACTCTGTGCTATGTAGCTATGTACGTAGTGCACCCCTGAACTCTGTGCTATGTACGTAGTGCACCCCTGAACTCTGTGCTATGTACGTAGTGCACCCCTGAACTCTGTGCTATGTACGTAGTGCACCCCTGAACTCTGTGCTATGTACGTAGTGCACCCCTGAACTCTGTGCTATGTACGTAGTGCACCCCTGAACTCTGTGCTATGTACGTAGTGCACCCCTGAACTCTGTGCTATGTACGTAGTGCACCCCTGAACTCTGTGCTATGTACGTAGTGCACCCCTGAACTCTGTGCTATGTACGTAGTGCACCCCTGAACTCTGTGCTATGTACGTAGTGCACCCCTGAACTCTGTGCTATGTACGTAGTGCACCCCTGAACTCTGTGCTATGTACGTAGTGCACCCCCCCTGAACTCTCTGCTATGTACGTAGTGCACCCCTGAACTCTGTGCTATGTACGTAGTGCACCCCTGAACTCTGTGCTATGTACGTAGTGCACCCCTGAACTCTGTGCTATGTACGTAGTGCACCCCTGAACTCTGTGCTATGTACGTAGTGCACCCCTGAACTCTGTGCTATGTACGAAGTGCACACCCTGAACTCTGTGCTATGTACGTAGTGCACCCCTGAACTCTGTGCTATGTACGTAGTGCACCCCTGAACTCAGTGCTATGTACGTAGTGCACCCCTGAACTCTGTGCTATGTACGTAGTGCACCCCTGAACTCTGTGCTATGTACGTAGTGCACCCCTGAACTCTGTGCTATGTACGTAGTGCACCCCTGAACTCTGTGCTATGTACGAAGTGCACCCCTGAACTCTGTGCTATGTACGAAGTGCACCCCTGAACTCTGTGCTATGTACGTAGTGCACCCCTGAACTCTGTGCTGTACGTAGTGCACCCCTGAACTCTGTGCTATGTACGTAAGTGCACCCCTGAACTCCGTGCTATGTACGTAGTGCACCCCTGAACTCTGTGCTATGTACGAAGTGCACCCCTGAACTCTGTGCTATGTACGTAGTGCACCCCTGAACTCTGTGTAGTGCTGAACTCTGTACGTAGTGCACCCCTGAACTCTGAACTCTGTGCTACGTAGTGCACCCCTGAACTCTGTGCTATGTACGTAGTGCACACCCCTGAACTCTGTGCTATGTACGAAGTGCACCCCTGAACTCTGTGCTATGTACGTAGTGCACCCCTGAACTCTGTGCTATGTACGTAGTGCACCCCTGAACTCTGTGCTATGTACGAAGTGCACCCCTGAACTCTGTGCTATGTACGTAGTGCACCCCTGAACTCTGTGCTATGTACGTAGTGCTCCCCTGAACTCTGTGCTATGTACGTAGTGCACCCCTGAACTCTGTGCTATGTACGTAGTGCACCCCTGAACTCTGTGCTATGTACGTAGTGCACCCCTGAACTCTGTGCTATGTACGTAGTGCACCCCTGAACTCTGTGCTATGTACGTAGTGCACCCCTGAACTCTCTGTGCTATGTACGTAGTGCACCCCTGAACTCTGTGCTATGTACGTAGTGCACCCCTGAACTCTGTGCTATGTACGTAGTGCACCCTGAACTCTGTGCTATGTACGTAGTGCACCCCTGAACTCTCTGCTATGTACGTAGTGCACCCCTGAACTCTGTGCTATGTACGTAGTGCACCCCTGAACTCTGTGCTATGTACGTAGTGCACCCCTGAACTCTGTGCTATGTACGTAGTGCACCCCCCTGAACTCTGTGCTATGTACGTAGTGCACCCCTGAACTCTGTGCTATGTACGTAGTGCACCCCTGAACTCTGTTATGTACGTAGTGCACCCCTGAACTCTGTGCTATGTACGTAGTGCACCCCTGAACTCTGTGCTATGTACGTAGTGCACCCCTGAACTCTGTGCTATGTACGTAGTGCACCCCTGAACTCTGTACTATGTACGTGTGCTATGTGCACCCCTGAACTCTGTGCTATGTACGAAGTGCACCCCTGAACTCTGTGCTATGTACGTAGTGCACCCCTGAACTCTGTGCTATGTACGTAGTGCACCCCTGAACTCCGTGCTATGTACGAAGTGCACCCCTGAACTCCGTGCTATGTACGTAGTGCACCCCTGAACTCTGTGCTATGTACGAAGTGCACCCCTGAACTCTGTGCTATGTACGTAGTGCACCCCTGAACTCTGTACGTAGTGCACCCCTGAACTCTGTGCTATGTACGTAGTGCACCCCTAAACTCCGTGCTATGTACGAAGTGCACCCCTGAACTCTGTGCTATGTACGTAGTGCACCCCTGAACTCCGTGCTATGTACGAAGTGCACCCCTGAACTCTGTGCTATGTACGTAGTGCACCCCTGAACTCTGTGCTATGTACGTAGTGCACCCCTGAACTCACACACATAACGCACTCCTGGTATTTATTGCGACCATAAGATTCTCCCGCTGTTAGTGCACTTTGGCCACATCCACCATTCGACGTGGTTCAGCAGGGTTGGGTAGGTCTGCGCTCCTGCCAGTGGTGTATTTAGGTTTTGTGCTGCCCTAGACAACACAAAAATTGGGCGCCCGCCCCCCCCCCATGGAGAGAGGCTGACATTGACCAACAACACCCTTGCCCACCTCCCACCTGAGAGAGCCTTCCACTAACATACCCCCCCCTCCCCCGGTGAAAGAGAGAAAGACACTCACCTTCAAAGCTCCAGACAACCTTGGGAATGATAGTCGGGCTCCCCCATAAACCATCAAGAAGCCCACAGCCTCTCTTGGATCCCACCTGGTCCCTATGGCACACCTGTCCCTTCTTCTGGCCGCCCTAGGCAAATGGCTTGTTTGCCTTGTGGTAAATACGCCCCTGGCTCCTGCAACTATTCTCTAAGACAGAATAAACCCTGGATGAATTTTATATAGTCTCAGAGATACAACCGGCCCTTTGAGGGCAACCTGCGAAGAAATGGAGTTTGAAACCCTTGCTCTATAGTAACTCTTCTTGTTCTTGTTTTTCATTGCAAATAAATAATGGACTCCAAGCTAAAGCCGTCAAGAATGTCAAGTTCTCGATGAAGGAGGGGTGCAGGCTGTCCGACATCCACAGAAGGCTACAGAATGTTTGTGGAGACCAATGTCTTGTCATTGGTGACTCTTGTCCATGGTATCATCTCTCTAAATATTCTGTAGCCTTCTGTGGATCTCAGAGAGCCTGAACCCCTCCTTCACCGATAACTCAATGACAGCGCGTTGCTAATGCTTGGAAACCATTATTTACCTGCAACAAAAATGAAGAAGAGTTATTATAGATGAAGAGTTAGGGCTCCATGTACACTGCAGCTGATAAACTCCCGTTTAGGAGCTGTTCAATGTTTTTTTTTCAGCAGCCCCTGAACTCTCCCTAATGTTCTCCTGTGTCCGTGTACACATCGTCATTTACAGGCAGTTGAGTTTACAGTCGTTTTTTTTAACGCAACAAACTTGCGTTTAGACGTCAATTTTATCAGTGTTTCAAACGCAAAATGCTTGTAAATGCGCTTAAACGCGTCTAAACATGGCACATCGCGTTTATTAGCGGTTTAAATTTTTTTTTAGCTCTTCCAGTTCCCGATGCTGTTCAGAACCTTTTTTCATCATGAAAAATGCATGCAAAGTGTTTTTAAGGTATTCAGATGGACAAAACACTGAACACAGAATGTTCCTACCAAGCTTGTTACACATTGCAATGACCATTCACGCCTCAGACCTCTCCCACCCTTGGAAACAAAAGATATGTTAATGACCATTCACACCTCAGACCTCTCCCACCCTTGGAAACAAAAGATATGTTAATGACCATTCACACCTCAGACCTCTCCCACCCTTGGAAACAAAAGATATGTTAATGACCATTCACACCCCAGACCTCTCCCACCCTTGGAAACACAAGATATGTTAATGACCATTCACACCTCAGACCTCTCCCACCCTTGGAAACAAAATATATGTTAATGACCATTCACACCTCAGACCTCTCCCACCCTTAGAAACAAAATATATGTTAATGACCATTCACACCTCAGACCTCTCCCATCCTTGGAAACAAAATATATGTTAATGACCATTCACACCTCAAATTCCTCATGAAGACCCCCTGCCAGGTGGCCTTAATGACTTCCTCCACCAGACACCTCTCCCACCCTTGGAAACAAAAGATATGTTAATGACCATTCACACCTCAGACCTCTCCCACCCTTAGAAACAAGAGATATGTTAACCACTATTCACACCTCAGACCTCTCCCACCCTTAGAAACAAGAGATATGTTAATGACCATTCACACCTCAGACCTCTCCCACCCTTGGAAATAAAAGATATGTTAATGACCATTCACACCTCAAATTCCTCATGAAGACCCCTGCCAGGTGACCTTAATGACTCCCTCCACCAGACAACTTTCCCACCCTTGGAAACAAAAGAAATGTTAATGAGCAACTCACACCTAAGCTAATCTCAACACATACTGCTGTCTCTGCTTCTACTCTCTGTATTTCTCTGAAACAGTCTGAAATAGTTAATAATTTACCACTTTTTAGTGCATTCTGGGTATTTGGGAGATTCTCCTGTGCTTATTTTTAAAAACCGCTTCTAAACGCAAACGCACACATAAACGCGTTATGCAAAAGCAGCTAAACAGACTTTTTTTTTTGCAACCTACGTTTTCCAGCAGTCAGTTTCCATCATTCAGAAGTGTCCCGTGTACATGGGCCTAACTCTACCAACATAATGAAAAAAAAGTTATACCCACTTTTAGTGCCGTTCTTGTATTTACTGAACATGCGAATGTGCATGCGAATATATTTGAGGTGTACCTAGCACTACTTACTATGCCGGACATAAATGAGCAATTCATACCTGCAGCGGGAGGAAAACAGACGGCTTAAATAAAAAATAAAAAAAGGTAATTCCACTCATTAGACGAGCACCAGCAGGATGATCCATCTGGATAGGGAAGGAAAGTCACACATTTACTTTTGTTTCCTCTTTGAAGTTAATCAAAATCCCATGAATTTGGTGGTCAAGCAAAAGACAGGAAAAAATGTGACAGTTTACGTATGTGAAAACTATTCCAGAAAAAGCAGACACTTCATCACTGCCGTGCCGGGTGCCAGAGCAGTATCACTGCAGCTACTTTTCTGTGCAAATTATCATAAGTCAACTTTGTGGAATGAGGAAACTGCTGAGATCTGCTCCAGTGACTGAGGAATGGATGCTTTTTACATAAAAAAAAAAAAGAATGTATTCACTAAAATCCATCAATAAAGGGGATTCCCCACCCTGTAATACACACCATTGAATAGGTAGAGATACAAAGGGAATCTGATACATTAGAGAACATGTCAAACTGAAGGCCCGAGGGTCAGATCCGGTCCTCCAGGCCATTTCATGTGGCCCTCAGACCTCTCCTGCAGCTGTGGCACTCCCTTGTCTCCACCTTGTCTCAGCAGTCAAAAGAAGAGAGGAGGACAGATCTCCTGCGCCAGATCCTGCTCTTCTCCATGCAGCCACAGAGAGGCTTATTTCTGCAACCCCTCACCCTTGGTCTCAGCAATTGGCAGCAGAGAGGACCACAGAACTCCTCTAGGTCTTCAATCTTTCCAAACAAAGGACCAGTTTACTGTCCTTCAGTCTTTAGAGGAGCCAGACCTGGCCCAGCTCGAGTAGAAAATGGCATGGCGTCAGTGGACCCAATGACCCATCATTGGTATCAACAGAAGGAATAGGGTCCCATTGGTGGTATCTGAGGGAAGGAAGAATCCAAACTGCTGGCATCAGTCTGAGGAATAGCGCCTTATATCAATGTCCCATTGTTGGTGTCAGTGGGAGAAAAGTGCCCCATCAAGTGTCAGTGGGAGGAATAGTGACTTGTATAAGTGGGAGAAATGGTGTCCTATGGGCCGGATAATGGCAAGCAAAGGACCACATTCAGCCCTTGGGCCACAGTTTGGAGACCCTGTTCTAGGCTCTTGCAGCCCACCACAGCAGCCAGTATCTTTAGTGAGGTTTCTGAGGAGGGGAATCCCTGCATCTTTGCAGATGACACCAAGCTGTGCTGTGGAATAACGTCCTTACAGGATGTCTTCAACTTACAAGCCAACCTCAATGCTCTGTGTAATTGGGCAACTATGTGGCAAATGAGGTTTAATGTTGATAAATGTAAGGTTCTGCACTTGGGGGCTAAGAATATGCATGCATCATACATACTAGGGGGGGTACAACTGGGGGAATCAATGGTGGAGAAGGATCTGGGGGGTCAATGGTGGAGAAGGATCTGGGAGTTCTGGTAGATCACAAGCCTAATAATGGAAGCAATGCCAAGCAGTACAAATCATTAGTAATACCTCATCTGGAATATGCAGTTCAGTTTTGGGCTCCAATTCACAAAAAAAACATTGGGGAACTGGAGAAAGTACAGAGAAGGGCAACCAAACTGATACGAGGCATGGAGGAGATCAGCTATGAGGAAAGATTAGAGGAACTGAATGTATTCTCTACTAAGAAGAGGAGATTAAGGGGGGATATGATCTCCATGTATAATACATAAGGGGGGATATGATCTCCATGTATAATACATAAGGGGGATATGATCACCATGTATAATACATAAGGGGGGGATATGATCTCCATGTATAATACATAAGGGGGGGGGGGGGGGATATGATCACCATGTATAATACATAAGAGGGGATATGATCCCCATGTATAATACATAAGGGGGATATGATCTCCATGTATAATACATAAGGGGGGATATGATCTCCATGTATAATACATAAGGGGGGATATGATCTCTATGTATAATACATAAGGGGGGATATGATCTCCATGTATAATACATAAGGGGGGGGGGGGGGGTATGATCTCCATGTATAATACAAAAGGAGGGAAATGATCTCCATGTATAATACATAAGGGGGGATATGATCTCCATGTATAATACATAAGGGGGGATATGATCTCCATGTATAATACATAAGGGGGGATATGATCTCCATGTATAATACATAAGGGGGGATATGATCTCCATGTATAATACATAAGGGGGGATATGATCTCCATGTATAATACATAAGGGGGGATATATGATCTCCATGTATAATACATAAGGGGGGATATGATCTCCATGTATAATACATAAGGGGGGATACGATCTCCATGTATAATACATAAGGGGGGATATGATCTCCATGTATAATATATAAGGGGGGATATGATCTCCATGTATAATACATACGGGGGGGATATGATCTCCATGTATAATACATACGGGGGGATATGATCTCCATGTATAATACATAAGGGGGGATATGATCTCCATGTATAATACATAAGGGGGGGGATATGATCTCCATGTATAATACATAAGGGTGGATATGATCTCCATGTATAATACATACGGGGGGATATGATCTCTATGTATAATACATAAGGGGGGATATGATCTCTATGTATAATACATAAGGGGGGATATGATCTCCATGTATAATACATAAGGGGGGATATGATCTCTATGTATAATACATAAGGGGGGATATGATCTCCATGTATAATACATAAGGGGGGTATGATCCTACATGATGTATGATATGTATGTATGATAATACATATGTATGATAATGCATAAGGGGGGATATGATCTCCATGTATAATACATAAGGAGGGATATGATCTCCATGTATAATACATAAGGGGGGATATGATCTCCATGTATAATACATAAAGGGGGGATATGATCTCTATGTATAATACATAAGGGGGGATATGATCTCCATGTATAATACATAAGGGGGATATGATCTCCATGTATAATACATAAGGGGGATATGATCTCCATGTATAATACATAAGGGGGATATGATCTCCATGTATAATACATAAGGGGGGATATGATCTCCATGTATAATACATAAGGGGGGATATGATCTCCATGTATAATACATAAGGGGGGATATGATCACCATGTATAATACATAAGGGGGATATGATCTCCATGTATAATACATAAGGGGGATATGATCTCCATGTATAATACATAAGGAGGGAAATGATCTCCATGTATAATACATAAGGGGGGATATGATCTCCATGTATAATACATAAGGGGGGATATGATCTCTATGTATAATACATAAGGGGGGGATATGATCTCCATGTATAATACATAAGGGGGGATACGATCTCCATGTATAATACATAAGGGGGGATACGATCTCCATGTATAATACATAAGGGGGGATACGATCTCCATGTATAATACATAAGGGGGGATACGATCTCCATGTATAATACATAAGGGGGGATACGATCTCCATGTATAATACATAAGGGGGGGATATGATCTCCATGTATAATACATAAGGGGGGATATGATCTCCATGTATAATACATACGGGGGGATATGATCTCCATGTATAAATACATGGGGGGGATATGATCTCCATGTATAATACATAAGGGGGATATGATCTCCATGTATAATACATAAGGGGGGATATGATCACCATGTATAATACATAAGGGGGGGATATGATCTCCATGTATAATACATAAGGGGGGATATGATCTCCATGTATAATACATAAGGGGGGATATGATCACCATGTATAATATTAAGGGGGGGATATGATCACCATGTATAATACATAAGGGGGGATATGATCTCCATGTATAATACATAAGGGGGGATATGATCTCCATGTATAATACATAAGGGGGGATATGATCTCCATGTATAATACATAAAGGGGGGATATGATCTCTATGTATAATACATAAGGGGGGTATGATCTCCATGTATAATACATAAGGGGGGATATGATCTCCATGTATAATACATAAGGGGGGATATGATCTCCATGTAGAATACATAAGGGGGGATATGATCTCCATGTATAATACATAAGGGGGATATGATCTCCATGTAGAATACATAAGGGGGGATATGATCTCCATGTATAATACATAAGGGGGATATGATCTCCATGTATAAATACATAAGGGGGGATATGATCTCCATGTATAAATACATAAGGGGGGGTATGATCATCATGTATAATACATAAGGGGGGATATGATCTCCGTGTATAATACATAAGGGGGATATGATCTCCATGTATAATACATAAGGGGGGATATGATCTCCGTGTATAATACATAAGGGGGATATGATCTCCATGTATAATACATAAGGGGGGGATATGATCTCCATGTATAATACATAAGGGGGGGTATGATCATCATGTATAATACATAAGGGGGGATATGATCTCCATGTATAATACATAAGGGGGATATGATCTCCATGTATAATACATAAGGGGGATATGATCTCCATGTATAATACATAAGGGG